CTCTCTCTCTCTCTCTCTCTCTCTCTCTCTCTCTCTCTAGATTGCGCGCACGCGTGCGGGAAAAAAGAGATCCCGATGGACCACGGATTAGATATCAACCTGATTGGTAGAGATAGGGGGGGCGGGGGGCGGTCGCAGTTATTTAGATTGGGCTCTCTCTCTCTCTCTCTCTCTCTCTCTCTCTCTCTCTCTCTCTCTCTCTCTCTCTCTCTCTCTAGCGTGCGCGTGCATCCGTTTTCTCCTTCTCTATTTTTCAAAAGAAAAAGGTTCCCCGTGGACCATGGATCACATATAAAACCGATCGGAACGAATAGTACACTTGACAAGGGGAGAGGGGGGGAGGTGGCAGCTAGTTACATTCGGGTGGGGGTAGTCGGATGCTTGGGGCAAGCGTGATGGCGGAGGCGGGAGAAGGGCTCTCTCTCTCTCTCTCTCTCTCTCTCTCTCTCTCTCTCTCTCTCTCTCTCTCTCTCTCTCTCTCTCAGTGCGCGCCTAACATGTTTTCTTTTCTATAGCGGAAGCGGGAAAGGGGAGGGGCAGCCGCTGGCGGAGGGGACTGCAGGGGAGCGCAGGCAGAGGTGCGCTGGTGGGGAAGCGGTGGCAGAGGGGGTGGAGGGGAGCGCTGGCGGAGGGGAGTGGAAAGGAGCGCAGGCGCACAGGACCACTGGCGGAGGGGAGTGGAAAGCAGTGCAGGTGCAGGGGAGCGCTGGCGAAGGGGTGCGCTAGCGGAGGGGAGCGGAGGGGATCACTGGTGCGAAGAGCGGCGGAGGAGGCGGTGGAGGGGTGGGGGATAGGTGGAGATGGAGCAGCTGGGGGGCGGAGAGCTGCAGAGGATGGGGAAGGGCCGGAGGAGCAGCCCATAGGTGGAAGCAGGCGGAGGGGAGCAGCCGGAGGGGAGTGGAGAGGAGCGCTGGCGGGGGGCGCGCTGGTTGAGGGGAGCACTGGCGGAGGAGAGCACTGGCGGGGAGTGCGCTGGCGGAGGAGAGCGCTGGCGGGGGGTGTGCTGGTTAAGGGGAGCGAAGCAGAGCGCTGGCGAAGGGGAGCGCAAGGAACACAGGTGGAGGGGAGCGGGCGAAGGGGAGTGGAGAGGTGCGCTGGCTGAGGGGAGGAGGGAAGTGGAGGCGAGCACTGGCAGAAGGGAGGAGGGGAGTGGAGCGTAGCGCTGGGGAAGGGGAGGAGGGGAGTGGAGGGGAGCGCTGGCGGAAGGGAGGAGGG